GGAATGGTGTAGCACATATTTAGGTGTATCTACTATCCTCAGTTAAACCTCTCTGAAAATACTCTGACAGATGTGCCCAGATGTTTATCTCCTAGATGGTTCTAAATTCAGTAAAATAGACAATGAAAATTAAACATACTTTTTTTTTTGTCCAAAAGCCCGGTGCCTGGCACCACATCAGGTTTTTGAAAAGTCACTATGACTAAGTATTATTAATAACACAAGTAACTCTATTAATGGTAAAGTGAAGCACCAGATGAGAAATTTAATTTTAGTTTAAAAGAAAGTTAGAAAAGACAATTAACAGGTGTTACCCTTATAAATTTTAATAATGGAAAGTCATCTTTAGATATTAGCCATTAGCATACATTGGTTAATTCAAATAACTGGAAATCCTTACCAAAAGTAAAATTTGTCTGTCTTCTGAGACTAGTATATCGGTAGACTTGACTTCAACGCCTGGAGAACATTGACTAGCATCTGAAAACAGGTAATGGTAATCATTGATAGCTACTTATGCCTATCTTGGTGAACTTGGTCATATATTCCGTTTGATATTTCTTGAAAGCTAAACACAATCTCTTATTGGAGGCCGGTAAGGCTGGTATAAATTACAAACAACAATAACTCCCCAATATGATACAATTTGCTTATATTTCATATCAGAGTGAATTATCTTGTCAAATAAGATCTCATGCTGCATTCCAAAGCAATGATTATGAGGAAAGCTGAAGTTGCTCACAAGATTAAAAAATTAAAAGATAGACCTCATACTATGAAATATGAAAGCCAGAAGATAAAATCACAGATTAACCTCTCAAGTTAGTCTACGGAAATGTACTCCACTGACAGAAGCAAGTCTGATTGTTGGTAGAGGCAAAGCCTAAGATAGAAATTACATATTGGCTCCTCTCCGGTGGATGGAGTCTCACAAATCTGAGTGGCACAATGGTGATGTCTACATTTCATTCTGAATTTAAATCCATCACCTGTATGAAGATAGGTTTCTAATCCCCCCCTTTACACAAGCCAAGGAGACATCGAACCAGTATGAATAGGGTACCAGCTTTTGTCTTCCTAATAGTGCTGTCCTGTGAGTACACTGTGGAGTTTGTAATCCTCAAATTTCTTTAAATTTTTAAGCCTTTTCATGGAAAAAAATGAATCTTGGGGGGAAAAAAACAGAATACGAGAAGAAAAGAGAAAAGGAGAAGTCAACTATCCTGCTTATTGGGCAGTCCTCTATCACACAGAACCAAGAATAAGACTATTAGTAGGGATGTATTTCCCTAATTATACTGGAGCATCTGATCTATAGTTCCTACAGTGGCTTCACATCGTGCTGCCCAGCTTGAACTCTTAAAAAACCTTCAGATTGCTAAACCAAGCATCCTCTAATTTTGCCAAGGAAAATAAATCTATTTTCCTATTTCCTGTGCTCTGTCAGGGTTAAAAACCATAAAAAAGAAGCCAAAATTCCTCCACAGTAGGCTCACAGACCTAAGGAGACCATTATTTTCAACGTAGAAAGGCAAATAATCTTCCGAGAACTGATGTTCTTGCTGGCCTCGTTGAGCATTGAGAAATCAGGGAAAGCTTTCTTAAGGAAATAACATTGAATTGATTGAGGAATTGGACCTGAGAAAACAGGAAGGGGGCTTCAATTGCTGTCTGTAGCCAAGGATGGCACTAGTAGATTACTCTGGTGAAGATGGGTAAGGGGTTGTGTGTAAATTCTGGAGACAGAATCTAGTTTTGATGCTTATCTAAATCAAAGCAAGGTTTACATATCATTCCTCACATGAAGACCAAGCTAGCCTGATGCCTGGCTTTTCTGAATTTTCACTCTTTCCAAGGCAGGGGAGCTCAAGTTAGG